CACTTTACCACTCAGCCACCACAACTCCTAGTAATATTATAGTAATATTACAAATGATCTAAATTTGTGCAAGTAGAAATATTTTTACTAAATTATTTTTTGTTTAGTTCTATAGTGCTTTAGCGTTTTAGATGTGCAATAATTCTATCACTTGTCTGGACTATTTGGGAAAAGAGGTGGGAAAAAGAAGTAGGTTTCTGGGTGAATGTAACCTAGATCACTTTTTAAATGCATTTTATATATGTGCTCAAGCCAATAACTAACCACTGAGCTAGCGATGGGCTTATAAAAATAGAATGTATTGTAGTTATCTATCGTTAGTTTCAAACCTTCAAACCTTTTTGCAATGACCTAATTTTCTACACAAAGTCTGAAAGTGAATTAACCAGACCCTCTTTTGGTTTCATCATTCTATCCTACTAAAAACAAATTCAGCATTTCTGTTACATTAAAAACACACATTTCTTAGCTGTCTGCAAAGTAATATTCACTTAATATTTTCCATTAATTACACATAAATTCACTACGCCATCTCTTCAGAAGACCAGTTAGTCCAACCTCTAGGTTTTAGCACAAAATTCAAAACTCTTGTAAATATTGGCAAGTAGTTACAGTTTCATCTTAGGTTTTTCTTGTTTGTTTGTTTTTTGTTGTTGTTGTTGCAACAACTTGGCAGAGTTTACCTTTCTATACCAATACTGATAAAAATTTTCATTCATAGAAGTTTACTATTTCCTTGTTTGTTTGTTTTTATGTTGCAGGGATAGCCATTGTTGTAATTGTATAGCCACACAATTATAATGATGCTATGACAAAATTGTATTTATAAGCTGACAAACGTCATTCAAAAATTGTTAAAAAGTTTAAGCATTTATTGCTTTTAGAAACTCTTATCATGGATGACATGAAGCATGACTTTACTAATGAACTTAAAACTATCCTAAAAAGTGAGAAGATAGATTGGTCGTTAGAATCAGAAATGACTGACGATACTTCTATGTATGAAACTTCTAAATTAAGTTTAGAGGAACAGACACAGGTAAAACACATTTTAATTATTGCCTAAGAAATTAAAAATTGTATTCTCTAAGCTTTATTTGAAATAATTTGGTGATGCATTTTTTTTCCATTTAAAGATAAAACAATTTTGACCATGCTTAGATATGTTGGCCCTTTTTAATTTGTGTTGTGAAGTATATAAACATAGGTGAAGAACCAAGATCATTTATCTTATAGAAGTAATTATAAATCTTATTAAAAAGGGATACCAGAAAAAAAATAGTCCCTTCACAGCTATATTGAAAATGAGATTTTAATTTATAACTTTAATTCTGTTGAGAAAGAAATCTGAAGAACAAATTAATTCAATGCCAATGATAGATGAGTTGAAACAAGACTTTACCAATGATCTATGCAATGTTATGAAAAATGAGAAGACAGAATTGTCTTTACTTCCAGAGACATCTGGATGCAGCTTCATTGGTCAAACCTGGGAATCAATTTTATCAGAGGTAGGACAATTTTTTTTATAATAAATTCTTTAAAAACTGCAGACTATTTAAAACATGACTTGTAACATATAAAAATAGCATGACTAAAGTACCAATGTTATTATGAGGAGAGGGTGAAGAAAATATAGTAAAACATAGGTAGGCCCTGATGAGGATTTAAACCAGTGGTTCCAAAACTTTTTTGTCTCGTAGACCCCTTGCCATGTTTTCTGGTTTTAGGTAGACCCCCTGCTTAACATGCAAATTTTTTCAAAGTCATCAACATTTTAAAAAATAATTTCTAACCGTAGTGAGTTGAAAATGGAACAAATAATTTAAAGCAACATACAAAGTTATAGAGATCTATCTTTTTTATTGATACAATTCGAATTAAAAACCAATGAAAATAACATTGAATATCTACTGCTGGAATCACCAAACACACTAGAAATGTTTTTCGTGTATTTCTTGATCTTTTCCATGGGGCACAAATATGGAGTCAGCGGAACTGTTTTCATAACTGAATGGGGCGAAGACGAGTAACTGTCGCCTAAACCAGTAACTTTGAGCAGGAGCGGCTCATTAGCCTTGGCTTGCAGCTCACCTAGCAGAAGGAAAACTTAATTCAAACCTCTTTTGCCTTGCAACTATACCCAAACAAGGAAAAACTTTCATGGGTCAATGCTGAGGAAAAATATGGTGGCGGCGACCCTTAAGTAGTTTGCAGCACACTGCACTACACCCTATCAGAACCTTTGATACCGCTGATCCCAAACTGTATATATTACTATATATATGTCGTTTGCAGGAATTACATAAGAAGCTTTTAGTTTTACAGCTATGCCATCCTTGTGCCCTTTAATTGTTTTGTTGCTTAAAGAAATTATTTTATTAATATCAGATGTAGGTTTCTATAATAATAATAATAATAATCTTTATTGTCCGTATGGACATTTGTCTTGCAATTTGTGCATTACACCAAACAAAAAACATTATAACTATAAGAAACCAAAGTGTACATTCACACCAGACGCACTCATAATTTACATGTGACAAAGTTTATATCAGATTGTTCTTTTTTAATGATTTGATTGCCAGGGGAACAAAAGAGTGTTTGTGTCTGTTTGTCTTTGCTATCGGTGTCTTGTATCTCTTTTGTGATGGTAAAATCACAAAATCCTGACACAAAGGGTGATTCTTTATTTATTTCAAGGATCTTGTTAGCTTTTTTTTATAGATGTTTGTCTCAAACAACTGCCCAAATAAGGTTTGTTTTTTGCCAATGATTTTACCAGCAGCATTTAGGATTCTAGGAGATGCGGTGGCTGAGCGGTAAAGCTCTTGGCTTATGAACCGGGGACCAGGGTTCGAATCCTGGTGAAGACTGGGATTTTTAATTTCGGGATCTTCGGGCGCCTCTGAGTCCACCCAGCTCTAATAGGTACCTGACATTAGTTACGGAAAAGTAAAGGCGGTTGGTCGTTGTGCTGGCTACATGACACCCTTGTTAACCGTAGGCCACAGAAACAGATGACCTTTACATCATCTGCCCTATAGACCACAAGGTCTGAAAGGGGAACTTTACTTTTTTTTTTTATTTAGGATTCTATAAAGTTTATTTCTATTTTTAATGCTCAGATTGCCATACCAGGCAGTGATATTGAAACTTAAAATATTGCAGATGTGAGCGTGATAAAACATAGCCAAGGCCTCTTCGCTAACATTAAACGAGGACAGTTTTCTTAGTAATCGTAATCTTTGCTGCCCTTTTTTGCTGATATAATCAGTATTTGCAGTAAAATTTAGTTTATTGTCTAGGATAGTACCAAGGTATTTAAAGGTTTGCACTATTTCAATAGTCTTTCCAGCTACAGAAACAATTTCATTTTCCTTCTTTTCCCTACAAAAATCGATTACCATTTCTTTGGGTTTTGTCAATGTATTCTATTTCTCTGAAATACTCATTTACGTCTGAGCTCTCTGGTTTGTATAAAAAAGTTTTTAAAACTACAACGATTGGTAAAATCGATGTTTTATCTATAGTGTTTTCCGTATTTGGCTATACGTAAAGAGATACTGTAAGACGCTTAAAAACCATCATCTTCTCTGTATCATGTCGAAGAGAAATTGTGAGGGAACGAATCCCTATTTGAAATAATCAACGCTCTACAATCTACATTTCTTTGTTAAACATTAGTTACATTTAGACAAAAATAAGTTATTTAAATCATTATTTAAATAAAATACAATTTTTCGTTTGAATAGCAGGATAAATATTTAAAGGTTTAACTAAAGTAAAAAGTAAAGTTCCCCTTTCAGACCTATATTAGTATATGAAAGAATTACATTAATGGGATATACACATTAAAGTCATGACCTGCTGAAATGAAATCCATTATCGTAGACCCCCGTGGACATCTCTTAGACCCCCAATTTTTTTTTTCCCTTTTGTAGACCACTTTGAAGTCTTCGTAGACCTCTGGGGGTCTATATAGACCACTTTGGGAATCACTGATTTAAACATTCAACTTGACCCAGTGCCATCGCCTAGCATCAACCAGGTTCAAAGTACATCCACTTTTGCTATCTCACTCTCTAAATAAAAGAGCATGAAGAATTTTTTAATAATAGTTAAGTCTTATTTGTTTCACTCTACAGCAAAAAATATATCCAAATCATGAGATGGCTTCAAACCAAGATAAACCTAGAAACTCTCCTAACAAAGATGTGCATGCTGGAAACTTTAAAGATGAAGAACAATATAGTTCAAATGAAAATAGAACTCTCCAGCTGGTTTCTTCTGAAAAACAATGCTCTACTTCATCAATCTCTAACAACCATAAATTAATTCATTGCTTTAGAAAAACATTTAAGTGTGACTTATGTCAAAAACAAATGTTTCATAAATCTAGTTTAAAAGTTCACCTGGCAGTTCATTGTAGAATCAAAAAATTCAAATGTCAAATTTGTCAAAAAGAATTCAATCACTACACAAATATAAAAAAACATGAGATGATCCATAGTGGTAAAAAGCCATTTAAATGTCAAATTTGTCTAAAACAATTCTCTGCATCCTCAAGTTTAAGAATGCATGAGATGATTCATTCTGGTAAAAAGCCATTTAAATGTCAAATTTGTAAAAAAGAATTTACCAGATCCTCAAATTTAAAGGAGCATGAAAATATTCATTCTGGTAAAAAGCCATTTAAATGTCAAATTTGTAAAAAAGAATTCTCTGCCTCCTCAAGTTTAAGAATGCATGAGATGATCCATAGTGGTAAAAAGCCATTTAAATGTCAAATATGTCTAAAACAATTCTCTGCCTCCTGGAGTTTAAGAACGCATGAGATGATTCATACTGGTAAAAAGCCATTTAAATGTCAAATTTGTAAAAAAGAATTTACCAGATCCTGTAAATTAAAGGAGCATGAAAATATTCATTCTAGTAAAAAGCCATTTAAATGTCAAATTTGTAAAAAAGAATTCACCCATTCCATTAGTTTAAAGCAGCATGAAAATATTCATTCTGACACAATGCCATTTAAATGTCAAATTTGTAAAAAAGAATTCTCTTCCTCCTCTAATTTAAAAAGACATGAGATGATTCATGGTGGTAAAAAGCCATTTAAATGTCAACTTTGTAAAAAAGAATTTATCCAATCCAATAGTTTAAAGCAGCATGAATATATTCATTCTGGTAAAAAGCCATTTAAATGTCAAATTTGTAAAAAAGAATTTACCAGATCCTCAAATTTAAAGGAGCATGAAAATATTCATTCTGGTAAAAAGCCATTTAAATGTCAAATTTGTAAAAAAGAATTCTCTGCCTCCTCAAGTTTAAGAATGCATGAGATGATCCATAGTGGTAAAAAGCCATTTAAATGTCAAATATGTCTAAAACAATTCTCTGCTTCCTGGAGTTTAAGAACGCATGAGATGATTCATACTGGTAAAAAGCCATTTAAATGTCAAATTTGTAAAAAAGAATTTACCAGATCCTGTAAATTAAAGGAGCATGAAAATATTCATTCTAGTAAAAAGCTATTTAAATGTCAAATTTGTAAAAAAGAATTCACCCATTCCATTAGTTTAAAGCAGCATGAAAATATTCATTCTGACACAATGCCATTTAAATGTCAAATATGTCTAAAAGAATTCTCTTCCTCCTCTAATTTAAAAAGACATGAGATAATTCATTCAGGTAAAAAGCCATTTAAATGTCAAATTTGTCTAAAAGAATTCTCTGCCTCCTCTACTTTAAAAAGTCATGAGATGATTCATTCTGACACAATGCCATTTAAATGTCAAATATGTCTAAAAGAATTCTCTTCCTCCTCTAATTTAAAAAGACATGAGATAATTCATTCAGGTAAAAAGCCATTTAAATGTCAAATTTGTCTAAAAGAATTCTCTGCCTCCTCTACTTTAAAAAGTCATGAGATGATTCATGGTGCTGAAAAGCCATTTAAATGTTAAAGTTGTAAAAAAGAATTTACCCAGTCCTCGTATTTAAAGCAGCATAAAAATAGTCATTCTGGTAAAAAGCAATTCAAATGTCAAAGTTGTTTAAAAGAATTCTCTACCTCCTCAAATTTAAAAAAGCATGAAATGATTCATAAGTTGTAAAAAGCCATTTTAATTGTCAAATTTGTAAGAAAAAATAAAAAATTTAGTTAATCCTCTAATTTAAAGGAGCATTAAATTATTCATTCTGATAAAAAGCCATTTTAATGTCAAATTTGTCAAAGCTAATTCACTACATCATCAGCTTTAAAACATCATATAATGATTGCTACTTGTAAAAATCTATTTCAATGTCTAATTTTGAAAAGTAAAAGCAGTTGGTATTTGTGCCTGCCACATGACACCCTCATTACCTGTGAGCCACAGAAACAGATTCCCCTAACATCATCTGCCCCATAGATCATAAATTCTGACAGGGGAACTAATAAGCTATTTCAATGCTTAATTAGTCTAAAATAATTCAGTCATTCCTCAAAATTAAAACAGCACAAGATAATTCATTCATTCTGATGAAAAGCCATTTTAAAGTAAAATGTAAAAACAAAATCAATTTTTAAACAGCACCAGATGATTCATTATGCTAAAATATCATTGTTGAATTTGTAAAAAAAAAAAAAAAATCATGTAGTTCTCTAATTTAACGAAAACATGAGGCTTCATTTTGGTAAAAAGCCAGTTACATGAAATTTTTCTCAAAAGAAACTCACTCATTCCTTATTTTTTAAACGGCATGAGATGATTTACATATTTATACACATAAAATGGCGATTCTTTAGCAGATAAGCCATTTTGTGTACTTGACTTTGCAAAAACAATTTTCATTGTCACAGGGCAGAAAGTTTTTCTGTGTGGGCATGTTAAAGAGAAAGTTTTTATTGTCAGTAAATATTAATAGTATGAAAGATTGAGCAACAGCTGCTAACAACACATAGGAGGGGACATCCTGAAGCTCTTTTGGGAGGAATTTTCAAATCAGCTTGATGCTGTCCTGGTAGTGGTGGTCACATTGAGCAGCTTGGACTAAAAACTTGTTATTTAAGAAATTTGAAATCAGGCATCATTTTTTTTATTTTTGAATATAGCATAATGGTTTTGGCATATTATTTTTGAAGCATTATTGTGCAGCTTAACTGATATTTATTCAGATTCATCCAGAATGGATTATTCCAAATGTCACTTATATTATTTTTTTATATTTTTTTTTTTGGATAGAACTAGTGATTCTAAGACTGAGGATACCAAACTTATGCTCATATTCAGAAAGTTTCACATTTGTTCAAATTTTTTTTACACTTTTTCCTTTTTTTGCCTTCATAATCCAATGTTTTTGATGGCCATTTCAAGAATAACTATTAGACTCCCAAAGATGAAAGATAGCATGCTCTACTTGTTGTTTAGACTAAGACTTAGGTCCTCCTAGGCCTTTTGGCGCATTGGGCAGTTAGCTTTCTCCACATAGATCTGTCACTGGCAACTTGATGTTTAAGTTGTCATAAAATGTTTTCATTTTATTTACTTGCTCTGAATGGTGCATTTGATCATTTTTAGCATATTTAAAAAAAACAACACCCTAAAAGCTGCTACACCTATGTAATGTTTGTCTAAATGTGGGGTATTATATATCTACAAGAATAAGTTATGATAAATAATACTTTATTTCAATATTTTGAACATTAAATAACATGCCATGGTTTACTGTAACACAAAAATAATTAGGCTTGTCTTCAGCTCCGAAGATTAATGAGAATGCAGTATTTCCTGTGGCTATGCAGTCCCAGCCTCGACCTACATATTTTGCCATTAACCATTTAGAATAATGAAACAAATATGTGTCAATAATTGTACATTTTATACCAGTATCATGTTTAAGAGAACTTTCTGCTCTTCCAATAGAATATGAAGGACATATTATTTGTTCACAATAACATGTATTACTAACTAATGTTAGTGAAAAAGATATTCAATTCATAGTTTTACTTAGATAATTTTAGGCATAATGACCTGCTAAGCCAGTTAGCTCAATACTGTTCTATGATTTAAACTAGGCTTCTGTTTAATAGTTTTTACCATGAAATCGATTCTTTTCAAATAAACATGTAAACACTTGATGAGTTTTTGTTTGTTTCATGCCTGAAATGAAGATATTATGATAATAAAATATATGATAAATATGTTTTGAATGTCATTTAATATTGATTACACTAGACTTTCTCTGAAACACTTTGAAATGGAGTATAATGGTGATAATAGTCCAAGAATATAGATGACATAAATGAATATTGATAATATATACAAAAATTTTTTAATATAGAATGGAATGCATATGTCAGTTGTTTTAAATTTTACTTATTTTTATTTAATGATTAAATGATGGTGTTGTAATAGATCTACAACACATATTATTTTTCATAAGATTGTTTTAACGGCATATTTTTGAATGACAATATCTTGTAATTCTATCAAAGTCAAATGACAGACAAGAATGGAAAAAGAAGGTTGACAGATCTTGTGTGGTGCCCCAACGGTCCAGTAAACTAAGGGACAGGTGAAAGTGAAGTTAGATGTGATCCTGGCCTAACTGATGTTATATGATGATTATCTGATTGATTTGTAAAGGGACAATCTCTTATTCAAAGCCTCAAGAATAAAAATTTCCGTAAAAAAAAAATTCCTTTAGTTTTGTATTCCATAGTGCTATGCTGCAGTTCACGCGATAATAAAAAAAAGACAACTTATAAATAGTTGTTTTAAATTATGATACACTTAAATGCATATACTAAATTATTTTTTCTCTTTAAAACATTTTTTTAAACGTAGTAGTTAGTATGACAGAACTTACTTAAGTTAGCAATAATTGTAAATAAATGTGTTTAAAAAAATAGTCATCTCCCTTAGGAAATAGCTTCACGTGTTTGTTACTATAGTGAATAGTTGTAAAAAAAAAAACAACACCTGCTTGATAGATTACTTTAATAATTAAATTTTTCGCTTTCAGGAAAGAAAAAAAAAACCTGTTGCATCAGAACTTTGAATGATTTAAAATATCCTGATGTCTGATTTTCAATATCTTTAAAAGTTTACAGGACGGACGGACACCACACAAAACTAATAGAGTTTATTCCCCTTTTTGGTGGCCGGTAAAAAGTAAAGTTCCCCTTTCACAATTTGTACTATTTGGGATAGATAATCTAAATGTCATCTGTTTTTTGTGGCCCACGGTTAACTTCAAAATAATGAAGATTTTGAGATTTACCTTAAGTTATTTTAATCAATCCTAAAAAAAAAAAAAGCAAATTGGATAGAAGATTGAGTAATCTGATGTCAAATACTGAAGAAAATTAGTATTGATTTGTTTCTGGTTAGAGAGGTTGATTTTACATTATATGTGGAAAAACATAATGTGCATCCATATATCTTTTGTGCTGACCACCTTATTATCACCTACTAAAGCATGATTCCCTTTATTACAGTCATTTGGAGGAGTGCACTATCAGCTCTTTAGTTTTTAGTTTAAACTTTTTCATTTTAGAATCTTGTTATCTGGTATTTGATCTCTTTATCTGTTGTTGTTTTTTCTTAATGCAGATGAAAAAAGTTAATACCCCTTTTATAAGTATATGGTATAAGTAGGCCTACATGATTCAATATTTTAGTTTTAAGAAAATCTAGCAAAGAAAAAAACAACATTGTTATAGATTTTTGTTGCTTAAAGGTAAGAAACCGGCCAAAACAATAAATTTATTTCTGTATTTTAAAAACTGTATCATCTTTACTGCAAGTATTTGTGTGTTAAATTTACTTAGCATTTTGTCCTGTGTAGTTTCTTACTATTTTTTTCTTTTTCACAAGTTCTTATTTTATACTGCACAGGCATTATGAACATGTTATTAAAATTCAAATGGTCAGTTTCTGGACAGTTTTAACAGAGCTGTGAAAAAGAAATTTTTGCAGATAGTTGAAAATGAAAAGCAAATGTATTTTGGTTTAATCTAATTATCTTCACTTAGGTTTTGACCAAAGCAGACTTTTCAAAGATATGCCAGTGGAATTAATTAAAATTATTAGTACTAAACCTGTCACACAGAACAACCATATCTGGAGTTTATTAACTAAAGTAAGATTTGACTTTTACTCACACAAGTTTTTCAAATGCAATTAATGAATCGCTGCCTGAGCGTTATGTATTTCTCTGGAC